GGAAGGGCCTCATCGGAGGCAAAAACCGAGAAGGGCGCGGCGGCGCCGCTGGGCTTCGGCCCGTGCATTCCGGCCGTTTGGCCGGGATTTTGGCTCCGATTTGGTCACAGGAGGAATCAGCGTGGAAAAACGAGTCGGGGGTACGAAATTTACCTCGATCGGCGGTCGGAAGTTCCTCCGGTGCGGCGGCGGGTGGCGGCGGCCGGCTTCTGGTTCGTCTTCTCCGGCGAGCGGCAGGCGGCTAGGGTTTGTGGTCTGGTGTGGGGGTTCTATTTATAACCCATTGCCTTTTGATCTCAGCCGTCCATTTTGTTTTAATCTGAGCCGTCCGTTTTTTATTAAATCTGGGCCGTCCGATCGCGCCCACGCGGATCGCCAACGTAGCCCTTTTTGGAACGACGTAGTTTTGCCACGTGGCAGGTCCCGGTTGACCGGGCCTGCTGACGTGGCTGCCGATGTGGCTTTTTTTTTTTCTCCTTCTCGGTCCGGGCGCTACAAATATTGGGTGTTACAACTATATCTCACCAAAAGTCTCATATTTGTTTTGCACCTGTTTCTATGATTAATTTATGAAGTTTACAAATGGAAATAAGTTTGAAAATGAAAAGTATACTTGGTAACATTTTATATAAAAGTGCCATAAGCATAAAATGTAGTATTATGTTTAATTATTTATTTTTACAAAATTACTAGTAAATATTGAAATGACAAAATTATTAATAAGGATTTAAGGTTCTATAATTATGTTGAAATATTAAATTTATTAATTAGAGAAACATGAATTTAATTAGTACATTAATAAAAAAAATATCATTCACTCCTAAAATATAAGTTATTGCTAAAAAAAAAAAAAAACCTATTTATAGTATCTAATTTCATTTTTATCAAAATCAAAACATTTTTTTTTTCTGTTTTTACCTAAAACATCATAAGTTTACTTTTACACAATAAAAATCAAATAAAAAAGACACTCAATGCTGTTGATTTATCCTTATAATTTTAATATCTATTTTGATGCTTTTGAAAACTATTAAATCTAACATATTGATAATGTAAAGTAAAATATAACTTTAATTATGAAGTATTATTATAATTTAAATAGATTTATTATAAAAACAGTAATTATGAATATAAGAATTCTGTCTTATTAAAATATCGTTTTAATATAGAAATCAAATAATTTTTTTGTGCGTAATTTTTTATTTAAAAATCTCAGAGCTGCATACCAAAATTTTAATATGAAATATAAATATTAAATTTAAATAAATCAAAAATAATAATTGAAAAAATCAATTTTGAATTTTATCAAAATTAAGGAAAAATTTATAATTAAATAATGAAATAATTTTACAATGTTAACAAATATTAAAGAGTTGTTTTCTAGTGATTATTTGAGTTTAAATATTAGATGAACTACACAGAAGAGTCATTCTTTAGAAAATATTCAGATATCAGAATACATTATAATTCACCCAAAATCACTCCCACATCAAACAGTTAAAAAGTGTTTTCACCATTGCTGAAAAATTAAAAAAGAAAACCTTCTCATGCTTACCGGTGCGTGTTTTATTACAATGCTAGAGCCTAGAGATCAACTTCTCGAGTCGAAATAATAACAAGAATATCCTTCCCGGAACTTTCACAGTCCTAAGAGAGTGTGCCAGATATGAAGTAAATTTAGAAG